TGAATTCTGAAAGCACTTCAACATGGATACCTTACACATGCACAGTTGAGAATTACTATATGATAAGATCTTCTATAATTATAGTATTTTGGCACTTGTGTATAAAGTTAAAATCATAAATAATATTCAACATTAAACTGGTACACAATTAAATTTAACTGTGTACCAGTTTAACATTGAATATTATTTATGATTTTAAGATCTTCTATGTTTACAGTACTTGTGTTGATTTTTTAAGTTATTTTTCCAGTTGATATAGTTATAAAACTCCCACACAATTAATATCACAGTCCTCTTTATCTAAAATGATGCATATTTTCTACTGTATCCTTTTATTTAGTAAACAAATAAATTCTCTTGGTTTTCCTTAAACGTTAAAAGACATCTAAACAACTTTTTATTTCTCCTGGTAGGACTATGTCCTACTACTCTCTTCAGTTCAAATGGTGGAGTTTGAAATACACTGTTCCAGACTGGGAGACCAAAGATTTTGAAGGTATGTTTAATTTGTTAAAGATATTTAAAATTATTGATTTTGTTCAACATATTCCCTCCTACTAATTATCAAGGACTTAAAAAATTACTTGTTTGAAACAAATACTCTATTCAAGACTTCTGTGAACTTGTATATACAATTATTAATTACTGCTTACAAAATTCCAAGAATTTAAAATGTTCTCTTTTGTAATTTGAAACCGAGTGTAAAAATCCTAGCAGTTAGCTTGAAGCTGATTTTGATGCTTTTCACAGCTATTGCTGTTTTTCGTCTTTCAGAGATTGTGGCTTATTTGTATCATCATCATATCTCCCTGTCAAAAGGAAAGTAAAAAAAGAAAAGTCACCATACAATCTGAAGAAGAGTAACATTGTGGACCTAGTAAACTATGTATCAACTGTTTGGACATAAAGGATAGCATGTGCAAGATTGGTGTATCTTTTGGCATCATTCTTATATAGATTTTAATTGTAAGGTAATTAGTACATCTTTTAAGGGCGGGGCTTTTGAGACAGCAAGTGTGTTAAAATATAACATTTTTAATGCCATCCATAGTTACCTTAAGAACAAGAGCAGCAAATGTATAAAGGTGCTAGAGACATTTGATAGAGTAAGAACAATGCGTAGAGAATACTTGTTACTCTAATGTCTGGAGATCAAGCATAAAACATCCAGAGAAAATATCGGTTAAGTTTATTGAGATGCTTTTATGTAAATAGTTTTAAAAATCTTTATTATGATTCAAAATAAATGTAGTACATTGTAAGGTATCTTGCACACCAATCCATTATGGAGAGTAGGATGTTTACTTTGGGGGTTGATGTGATAATGTTCTTGCATGGAATGCAAAATATTAGACTGAAAATCTAATAAAGCTGCTTAAGTCAAAGTTATGTTTGGGTTTTAATAATGGATTATCCATATGCAGATTTTGAAAATAATCATTTTTTTTCAAACAGGGAAGAAAAAAAAACCTTACTTAGATCAAAGTATTTTTTTTATTATGTTTGTTAACAAAAATACAA